TGTCTTTTGGATACTTCACCCTTACATCCTGACACTGCTGCTACTGGTGCCATCCCCGAAACTCTCCCTCCTCCAGTTTCCCCAGAGGCTTCACCCTCCTCTTTCTCTGAATCACCCCCTGTACTGCCTCCCAGCTGTACTCCTCCTTACGAAGAGGAAAGTTTTACTCTATCCCCTGACTTTCTCCAATCTGAGGCACACGAACAAGCGTTACAGTATCCAAAATCGCTGTGGGATGTGGTAAATCGCATTAGAAAGCACACAGCACCTGACTCCGAGAATGAAGAGGAAGAGGTGACCGAGTTGTGGGATCCAGAGAACTTAGGATCCCACAATGTGGCAGCAGACACGACCTCTGAAAAGACTGCTTTTGATGAAGTCGAGCAACAGGTTTCAGAGGAGTGTGCAGAGGTGGGAGACATCCAGCATGATCACAAAGAGGTACGAGGAGACACAGAGGAAGACACACTGTCCTGCAGCAGCACCAGCAGCCACGGCTCTGGAGACACTGTTATTGGAGCAGATGAGAACGAGGCGGAGGAAGCAGCACATGACGCAGAGATGGAGCAAAGAACCGAGAAGGAGAGCGAGGGGTTTAAGACAGCTGAAGCAGAGCTGCATTACTCTAGTGAAGTAAACGTCGAGGCTGAGGGAGGAGAAGAGGACGAGGAAGATGAGGCAGACATAAATGAGCCTTTTTTGAGTTCGGAGTGTGCACCAGAGATCATGGAAAAGGAGGTCGAGTGTGAGGTTATAGAGCTCTGACATGACAGTACGGTAATCAAAGAGCTGGTCCAGTGCGTTTAACACTCAAACATGAATCCGTATTTCCATGGCACTTCACAGCACATATTTTCAGAAACAGATGGGTTTTTTTCTTTATTTCGGCATCAGCTTAGAGATTTTAGCTTGGATGTCTGAGGAGCAAAAAGGACCACTGTTACAGAGACTTCTCTATTTGACAATAATATTTAAAAGCTCTTTATTTAGGCTATTTTACTACAGTTTACCTTTAAACGATTAGTACATTTTATTGTACTTTTCCTTGTCTGTTTCTATTTCCATGGCTTTGTGCAGTTGTGAGATAATGAAAATAGTCATAAGCAAAGACGGTAATATTTGGTGATTTAAAAGGAGTGGTTTTATGGTAATAATAGAGTCATAACAGAGGTGTGTATTGAATGTAAATAGACACTGGAGTGCATAAAAAACTAACATGTTCAGATTGTTTCCTTTAAAGATTTCGCAGATCTTTAATGGAAGACAGCGAAGAGGAAAACTTTTCCTTCCTGAAATGGGATGAAAAAAAATATACTTTTCTAGAGTTACAAAAACATAAATAAATCCAAACCTTTGCATGTTTACTGCAACTAGACAAACTTGTGAAGTATGATTGTGTGATATGAATAAAATTTCTGAAACAGCTGCTAAATGGATCGACTGATTACTTTTTTCCCCAGGTCAAAAAATCTTTCATGATCTTTATTCAGGTTTATATTCCAAGGATATTTACCGGAGCCATTTTTAACCACTAATTGTTAAATATTCGTTTTACATTTTTGTGTAATAGTTAGCATACATGTTAGCAAGTGCTGATCCCGGGAGGAGACACAAATCTCTGATGTAGTTAGAACCTGATAAAGACAAACAGGTTTTAGACTGGCAGTCACTGAAACTACATTTAAAAGTGTGTCTGTGTGGGTTTTTTAATTATAGGCATCAAAACTTTAAATAATA